AGGCGGCCCCCTGCGCGGAGGCGGGGATAAAGCGCACCTTCCCCCCGCCCGGGACCCGGGGAAAGACCCGAAGGGCTCGCGGCTCGGCTTTCCTTTCCGAGCAGGACCGAGCCAGTCGGGGGAAGGAAGCCCCGTCCTGCCTAGACTCCTTCGGTTTACCCTCGGCTGAGAAACACCGGCTTAGCAACTCGGTTCCTGCTCTGGTTTATGAACGAAAGAGGTGGAATTACATGCATGTTCACAAAGGCGCTTGCTCTGGCTGCTTTTGCCGGTCCTTCTAGCTGAGCCGAATTCTTTCCTGTCCCTGTGCTAGCGGCGGCACGTGTTTTCCTCTATAGCAAAGTAACGTGTGTCTGCAATACGGAGGAGGGTTGGGCATGCTCTGGGGTGGATCGTGAATGGAACAGTCGCCAGTATTCAGAGCCTCTCCCATTAGGGCGCACTCGAGGAATTTTTTAGCAAGACAAACTCTTGTCTCTGTTATTTGGGCCAGACCCTTTACACAATTTCTTTCCAATATTCCATTGCGTTTTGGACCGGAGCTCAACTCGGTAATTTCCCTTTGGTGAGAAATGGTTTGCTCTTGTCCCCTTCCAGGATTTTTGTTCTGACGTCCCAGTCTACCACATAGTTTAGGGTAGGACTTATCAAAATGTACAATTCTGTAACTTTCTAAAATGATAAATGAATTTGTCTCCTACATGAATAAAAGTATTTTGCTTATGTTAGAATTCTGCAAGAAATAAATACATCATTTACTAAAAGAGACTTAACTGTCATGGTGTCCAGACTTAAGCTGTTAGCTTTTCCTTTATCACCCAACTTTTTTTCATTTTGAAAGGCTAGAAGTTTAAAGTAATGAACAAAAATACTGAACTTCACTTCTACATATACTGTAGAAACTACATACACACTACCTTGCTGGTCATTGACTGCAATTACATTTTTGAAAGAATGATACATAGATACTATAAGCCACAATCAGAATTTACCAGCTAGCTTTGACCACTGGCCCTCCCGCACTTCTGAGAACTCCTGAACTTCACTCCCTGTGTTGCTTGTGCAAGGCTGAGCCTAAGTGCAAGGCAGCCTAAATAAAGCAGGACCAAGTTTTGATAGTGCTATCACTTTGAGCAAACATGATAAGCAATTTTTTAAAGTGTCCCACCTCCTGGAATCATGACCCACAGTTTAAGAACCTCTGGCTTAGGACTATTACATCTGGACTTCAAATATCAGGATGACTCCTAGAACACAGGAGTCTTCTGTACTGTCGTTTCCTTTTTCTGATTCTTACAAACCAGATCTGGTAGCTATGCACTTTCCTATCCAAATATTAACCAGGTTAATAGAGCCTCCCCAGTTTCCTTTTGGCAGCTTGTCTTTTTCTGCAAGTTGCCATTTGTTGCAATCCTCCTAATAATACATATAATAATATGCTGAAGGAACAAAACTCAGTTTCTGTAGTAAATCTATCCTGCCCCTGCCTACCATCCATCCCCCATCAGCCAGCACCACCCAAAGGGCTTGGAATTGGGTAGTCTATGAAATACTAGTTCCTTGACCTACAAATGTATTTTCTCAGTGCTGTATTTTGAAATAGAAGATAAATCTTTTGGTATATATGTCATTTATCACCTGAGAGTATTGAATGGCTCATGCATATGGATATAAATCTGAAAGGTTCTTTAAGTAAAAGATTGAAAAGTTCTTTCAATGTTACTAGTTAAATTGGCAGCCTCTTTGAATGCCTCATCCTGAGACCACTGTGGAAAATAGAAGCACACTCCCCCCCCCCCATTTGGAATGGACTAAAGCTGGCTTAACACTGCTGCAATGGTTACATTTCTGTCTCATGTACTTATAAAGATGGATTCTGTTGTTTAATGTTCAATTTGACCACATAATGATAGATGTAAGTTCCTGAAGAAATGCTTGTGTCTAGTTCCATCTTCTTTGTAGCTCTATTAGTCACAGCATTAGCAGCAGTAGTCCTCCCTGGGGCTGCCAGTGTGGGGCTGGCTTAAGTCTGAAGAGGCGAACTTTGCTGCATGAAGATTTCCATATGGATGAGAACTCTATTAGTCCAGACTCCTCAGTCCATGCTGAAAGTTCAAAATATGCTGAAAGCATCTTTCAGCCTCAGCTAATGCTGTTTTGGCTCAGTGCATCCCTGATGAACAGGATGTAATTAAGAAGGAGCCAGCCACATGTATCTTCTTCACACATTCAGAATTGCATGTCTGAAGATGGTTCTAATATATACTATGTTAATTAAATGAAGTAACATTTTCAAGCATGTAGCCTTCCAGCACCAAAAGTTTAATCAGTTATGAGCATTGTAAGAGGCCTCACTGTCCTCACTCCAGTGTTTTCCTGTCCTTTTCTTTCTGTTCCTTTCAGCCATTCCAATGGCAGCTACCACAGTTACAAAGACAGTGAAGGTTATGACAAGAACGGTCACTGTCTCAGCAATACAAAGCTCTGTATCCACAGATGATAGAGGACGGTTTCTCAAGAGATGAGGCTCCACGCATGTCATGTTATAGTAGTCATCCAAGACCAGCCTCCTGACACTGTGCAGTTTTGCAAAAACTCTCTGAAGATCACAGTCACAGAACCAGGGGTTGTCTGAGAGTAAGATGTGAGTTCCAGGGGTTTGCAAAGATAATAACGTTTTGAATTTAATATGCTCAATTTTATTGTGGATCAAGTTAAGTATTGTAAGGCGGCTTAATGGAGTAAAGGCTGCAGGAGCAATAGTTTTTATCATATTACCCTCCAAGTTCAGGATCTCTAAGTGTTGCATCATAGAAAAGAATCTATTATGTAGGGCATGAAGGCAATTGTTCTGAAGGTAAAGTTGCCTCAAGCGAGTGAGACTGCGGAAAGTCCCCATTTCTATGGAGGAGATGTTGTTATTTTGCAAATTCAGCTTCTGAAGGTTTTCAAAGTGCTGAAAACTTTTATACTGTAGCTCCTGCAGCTTATTGTAGGCCAAAATGAGTTCATGGAGAGAACTAAGTCCCACTGAAAAACTGTTGCCAAGGAATAAGATCTCATTTCTACCAATATCAAGCTTATGGAGTTGGTCCAATGAGATGAATGTTCTTTCCCCAACTTTGTTGATGGAGTTGCTGCTCATAAGGAGAACCTGCAACTTCCACAGGGAACTTAGACCTTTCCAAGGAATAGAATACAAGTTGTTGTGTGACAGATCCAAGTGTTCTGTATCAGGGGGGAACATTAGATTGGACACCCGAACATGGACTCCTGAACAGTTCACAAACATCGTCCCTTCTTTGCAAAAACAGATTTTCTTGCAGGCATGGTAGATTTTAGAATCACTATGTGAAAGAGGAATCCAAAGCCAGATTAAGTAATGGAAATACATTTTCTGCCTTATTCTGTGCTTTTGTTGACACCTGTTGGGTAACACAATTCAAAATGTATTTTAGAAAAAGTTGCACAATGCATAATTAAGTTTTAACTATCATCATGAGACAAAGCTGTTAACTCATTCTCCTGTGTGTATGTATACTTAACAAACTGTCAGGCTGTCAAGTCCTCAGCAGAATTTCCCAGATATTCGACTTATAGTTTCATAGGCTGATATGCATGTTAAGGCTCTTCAACACATGACATGGCAGGTCTAGGTAAGAATCTTTATTGCAGACTAGGAAGAAACCTCTAAAATGGTTGATTGTCCAAGGGAGCAGGGGTTGTTTTGAGTTCCCATTGCTCCCCATGGCACTAACATTCAAAATATAATTATCTGATGGAACATTCCAAATGGGTCTGTTTGTTCTGCACTTAGAATAGAGCATCTTTTATTTCACCTGGATCCCTACATTTTAGTGCAAGATAAGAAAAATACTGGCAACCTGGTAGATTTTGGATGAATCTTTAAAAAGGCATGATGGATTATCAGAGAACCCACTTCTCTCTTTCTGGCTTTCTGATAGTAACAAGGGAATGGGCTACTCACTTATTAGCAGAAAGAAAGGAAATACAAATCAAGGAAGAGAGGTTTAACCTTATATTTCCTTTAATTAAGAACTGACCATTTAAGAGACAGTTAAATTTTAAAACTTTAGTCAGTTAATGCTTAATGGATATTCACTTTGAATGCTTCATCATAGACACTATGACAATCAAACTAAGATTTTTATTTCAGAATAAACATATTTAAAACATTTCTATACTCCCTTTCAGTCAATAGAATCCCAGAGTGGTACAAAAGTTTAAATCACTTATAAAACTAGAAAAATGCACATCAGGACAAAGCACATACATTAGGAACCATAATCAGCTCATTTTAATAATTACAGAAAAAGTAAACCAAATAAAAATACTCTTATCAGTAGACTAGTGTGACAAACATTTGATCCAAAATAGGTTTAATGGTTCAAAAGTTACAGAAAAAAGTTCTTAAAGAAGCTTCTCATACAAAAGATGAGGACACATTTCCTACAAAAGATGAGGCCATATATATAGGAAACCCATCTTTGTCTCTGAACATCTGCTAATACAGTACATAGTAAGGCAAAAAAAAAAAAAAA